TGCTAAATAGATTGACCACTGATCTGTTGATGGATTGAATCCAAGTCTCAACATAAACATGAATGTGTATGAATGGTTCCTTACTGTGCTTTATTAAAAAAAAAAAACATTCACCATTATTGGCTTTTGTGTTTATTTTGTGTTGTAAGACTAATCATTGCTGTGTCTTTCTACTTAAACTTTACACCATGTTAGTGTACACTAACCTTTGTCCATAATTAAGTGAGTTATGTGAGGACAAGGATTTCTGCAGTGCTTTTGATTCAGCTTATCAATGCCACTGGTACCACACCTGGAAGGCTGAGCCTTACCAGAGGATAGTGCATGTGGCGCATGAACTTTGAAATGATGCATGTTATGCATTTGTTTTGTATTTTCTACATGAAATACGTTCAGTTAAAACAAATATCCTTAAAAAATGTACACAGTGAATGGGACAGACAGAGAATCGCAGTAATCCATTAATGGTCCTATATTATACAAAATGAACTCTTGTGAAATTTTAGCCATGTTTGAATGTTCAGAAAAAAACATACCTGGAGTGTTTTGTTTCATTCACACATGTCTGAGTAACCAAAGATCAAAATGCTCTCTTCCACCTTGGCAACTGTCAGATAGCGGTAGTTAAAGTTAACAGCTACCTACTACCATTAGTTTGGTATAGACTGGCAATTCCTGGGCTGAAATCTTCAAAATGATTATGTTTGGATTTTAAAAACACAGAGAGGCACTTCCTGTAATGGCACATGACATCACAAAGTGGAACAGTGTATTTTCTGCTAGATAGAAGAAGAGATAAAACTCCATATTTTTGATGAGGAAACAATATTATAACATAGACCAGAATTTTATGTTTTTTTATGAATCATTCTCTTTTTTTTTTTTTTTAAATCAATGATAGTTTTTGAAAAAATAATAAACATGTAAGTAAATTAATTATTAGTAGTATTAAACAACAGATCAGTATGAAGCATATTAGTAGATGTTGATGGTTGTTTCCAGCACATATTACAAGATAATTAAGTTATTACGTTAAAGGGTGCTATTTTCTCATCTTGTTATAATGTTTTTATAATCATTATAATCATAAAACATAGTTGGAGTTGTGTTTCTTTCACACATGGTTTTTTTTTTTAATAACTTTATTTATTCACATTTTCATTTTTTAGAACAAACATTCCCAAATAATAGTAATAATAATACTATATATATATATATATATATATATATATATATATATATATATATATATATATATATATATATATATATATATATATATTATATACACACATACATACATACATATACATATATACACATACACACGCATACATTAAATAAACAGAATTTAAATTAACATTCTGTATGACTTTAAATAAAAACAAAATAAAATAAATAAACAAAGACAAAAATGTAAAACACACAAGCACACAATGGGGCACACTCATACAAAAAAAATCACAGAGTATAAAAATGTCCACAGCTACATAATATGACAACATTGTCACCTTCTTCTTGGGGGGTCCACTACAGATTCAAATGCTCTAGAATGGGTCTCCATACCTTCTGAAATTTTTGAGGGTTGCCTGACACCTCATACCTCAGTCTTTCAATATGCAGCACTCCCATCATTTCTCTAAGCCAGGCTTCAAATTGGGGTGGAGAATCTGATTTCCAGAGTTTCAAAATACATCGTTTAGCTATCACCATGCCGTAAGTTACTACTATGGTGACATCATGACCCATACTTTCCAAGATGGCAGAGAACCCCAAAAGAGCTGTTTCAGGATCAGGGTCCATAGTTACCTTGAATACACGGGAGAACCATTTAAATATTTAGCTCCAGAAATCTTGGATTTTTAGGCATAGCCAGAATTGATGTGCAAGAGTACCTTTAACTGTCTTGCACCTATCACAGAGAGGTGATGTTTGAGGAAAAAAATTATTTAACTTTACTTTTGAATAATGCAGCCTATGTATGACTTTAAATTGTATCAGCTGCAGTCTGGCATTAATAGAACAGTAATGAAGATCATTTAACGCCCGTTTCCATATGTCATCTTTGATTTTAATATTAAGATCCTCCTCCCACTTTTGTTTAATTGTCATTGCAGGTTGAGCAATATTATGTTGAAACAGTTTAACTAATGATGAGATTATACTCTTAGCTTCTGGCGGGCCCAATAAAATCTTGAACAGAGGAATCTCCACAGGAAGGGAGTCAAAAGTCGGGATGTTCTGTCGAACATAATTCCTTAACTGTAAAAATCTAAAAAAAAAAAGAGTTTTAGGCAATATATACTTTGTTTGTAATTGATCGAATGAACAAAATTGTTTGTTTATATACAGATCTTTTATGAATTTCACACCCTTACGACTCTATTCCCTAAAAACCCCATCCGTGAGTGAAGGCTGGAAAGCGTGGTTATGCCATATAGGAGCATGTACTGAAGTATTTGGAAGTCCACAGAATTTTCGTATCTGTAACCAGATTTTCTCAGAGTTTAATAGAATAAAGTGTTTCCCTCTTCGAGAGGCCATTGGCCTAGGTGATGAAAACAGAATTGATCTCAAAGATGTTTCTGAAACTAAACTATGCTCAATTGTTAACCATGAGGGAGTTTCATCTATTGGCTCCTGGTCTTGAACTAACTGCCAATATACCAATACCCTCACATTGGCAGCCCAATAATAATGCAAAAAACAAGGTAGACCAAGACCACCACATTCCTTTGGCTTTTTTCTTTCACACATGTTTAACACATAAATCATCTCAAACAGAAAACATTCTGTTGCACCTTGTGATGTCATGTGATAATACAGGAAATGCTCCACTGTTTTTAAATCTATACACCTACATTAGAATAATTTGGATGATTTCAGACCTAGAATTGCCGTTCTTAGTTACCAAACTACAAATCGCAAGGTGAAAATGTTTTAGAGATGTAAACACACTAATATTACAGGATGACTCAAACATGTGTAAATAAAACAAATGAGAACTCCAGGTATGTTTTTGAGGAGGTAATGGCATTGTAACAGGGCTTAAAGCTCACAAAAGTAAATCTTTTATATAATAAGACCTTTAATGTCTTCTAATATCCAGTGTATCCAGTGTGTCTGCTTCTTGGATGTACATGTGGAATGTAGCAGTCCTGTCACACTTCCTGTTCTTCTCCTCATTCATTCTTTTTCATAAGTTTTTTTTGATAAACAGAAGTTCGTCATATGGGAGTATTAGTAGTTTTATCACACACTCAATGAGTCACCGGAAATACATGTAAGGAAGGAGCATCTATCAAAGTCCAAATCAGATTATTGCATAGATACAACGGACCGCGAGATAAACCATTTACCCAGTTTTGACCTTTGAACTCCACCATGTCTTAATTTCTTTGTTGGGGGAATGACTGGATTTTTCTTGTCAGTTTAGTTGTGGTGAAAGAAAAGAACGGTACTTTTACTATGTTTTGTGTGGGTTTCAGCAGTATAGAAGTATATCTCAGCATAACAATAGTAGTTGTTGTAGTACTACTTAAGGGTGTGGTGGACGATATTCACTGAAATGAATATCACCTAAATATTATTAGTTGTTTAAGAAATGGCTTGGTATGGTATGTAATATTTGTTGTAATTTTTGTAGTGATTGTCCTTAACTGAACTCTCTTACTCTAACCAGATTGCCTGCATATCAATCAATAAAAATCATTGAGCTGTGCAGTTGACTTTCGAGTGCTGGTGTGGTGTCAGTGTTTATCTGAAAGTGCAGTCTTTAGAGAGATCAATAAGATCATGTATAATGCTCTGGCCTTCAGGGACCACCTTGAATGAATGCAGTTAAGATAGTAAATGGAGTTTTTATATACTCTGTATTATTCATGATCTGTTGTCTCTTTGAATGTGTCATCAAACTTGCCCACCAAATGAACCAATACGGTGTCTCACTTGTTATACATGCATCTGCCTTCAGGCCACTATTGAAGGCCTGTTTGAGAATCAGAACATGGTGTGTAGATAAAGTTAGAAAGCTAAAATGGAAGTCCAGGAGGAATGTGGGTTATGTGAGGCATGCTAAACTCTGTGACCTTCAGAGCTCTCTTCCAGCCCTTTGCCATCTATCCTTCATTTCCCTCTTCTCTGTTCATCTTCTCCTTGTTCACCCATGTGCTGACTGAATGCAGGAAGAACACAGCTCTCATTTTTCTCTTTCATTTCTAATGTAAGTTTCATTCACCATAAGTCTGCAAGAGTATTCACAATCCAGTCAAACTGGCAGTGTAGATAAACCTTTTTAAATGTAAAAAACAATTATACTTGAGAGGCATGGCATTTGGATGTTAGCATGATATCAAGACATTATTGGTATGTCATAAGTCAAGATGCTCACTAAAACATGTGATATGGATGGGACTACTCTGGGTGCATCTCTAAACTGGTAAATCGATGAAAAGGAATTATAGAAACCCATTATAGAACTCAAACTTGATTTCAGTACTACAGGAAAGGCTCAATACTCTATATCAGTTTTGATATTTTATATACAATCTGGAACGGCCAACTTTAAGAGTTTGTTAGAATACAAATTAAACATAAACATTTTAGAATTTCATACTGAACCTTTAGCATAGGCAATCTGATATTGCTTTGCATAGTCTTTAAGTGATGGCTGCACTAAGGTTAGCACATTTAGCTGTTTGAACAGTGTGGCCTGTTAGCCAGGTGAGAGTGTGTTTGGATAGCCTGATAGCAGCTGGCAACGGGCCACAGCTCTAATCCAGTGTTTGTGGATTTCCTTGTTGGCCCCACACCAGTGTGAACACACTGGGCTGATGTGCAAACAGACAGTGGGCCAAATAGCTAGGATTACATTACCACCTCTGTGTTGGTGTGTGTGAAGCAATGAATGACTGGAATGAAACAAATACATGTAAAGACCTAGGCATGTTTGAGGTGATTTGTATACCATATTTAATCTATCTTTTGTCTGTCTTTTGTAGGTCTAAAGACATATCTGATCTCAGGGAGGAAATTGGAGCATGATATGCAGTGTGGATGTTCTCATGTGGGTTTGTCAAGTGGAGACTTTGCTGGTTTTAACTTGCTGTCCCGTCCTCAGTGCCATGCTCCCGACATCATTCCTGGAGCACAGGCCGCTGATCCATTAGCTCTGCATCAACTATCAGACAGGACTGGCGTGAGTTAACATTTTGATTATTTACTTTTCTGAGACCATCTCTTGTCTCTTTGCCTTGCCTCAATACTACAAAAACTTTCTGGTCATTTACATATTTCTATGTGTCCTTCTCACAGCATGTATCCCGTGGTGTAGTTTTGTCCTCTGCAGCAGATCAGTATGATGAGGTTGCTGTACTGAATGGGGGCAAGGATGACAACAAAACCTCTGGTGCTAAAGTAAATAGAATGCACTTTTTTTCTACATTTCTACATTTTTTATTTTTAAATTATTTGTATTTTATTTAAAAAAAAATTATTGTGTTTTTTTTTTCTGTGTAACCCAAAGTTCCCCCCTGGTCACAGTCCCAGAGCAGTCAATGGCCTCCTGAGTCCACCACTGGAGGATGCAGTGCGAGCGAGTCAGAGCTCTCTGTGCGACATGCTGCAGGAGAAGGAGAAGAAGACCAGCTCCAGCACAGGTACAGGCACCAGTCTGGGCATGGCTGCTGGGCCTGGGGCCACTGGGACCGGAATGGACCACTCCGCACTCATCCAACTACGGGCCAAAAACTTCAGAGAGAAGAGTGATGCACACTTTGTGGATGTCATCAGAGAGGACAGGTATAAGACTAAACATGCAGTTTCAAATAATTACATTAGATAAGTAATTATGCATCCCTTAGGACTAGATGCATAAATGAAAAGCAATAAAATAAACCTTTGTACATATTACATCTATTGTAATTTAATTTACCAAAAAAGATTTAAACAGTGTATTGTACTTTGATTTGTGTATTTCTAACATTTGTTCTGTTTCATCAGTTTGATGAAAGATTATTTTTTCAAACCTCCAATCAACAAGATCAGTCTCAACTTTCTTGAAAAACCCTTGGAGACAGCTTACCGGAGCAGCTACAAAGAGGAGGTACACAAACTCTTTTCTATATAAGACCAAAGACCATAGTGCCTCTGGTGATATTGCAGCCTTGCAGCCCTCTACTGTTAGACGTCTGCTAGTACAGTTAAAACATGTTCAACCTGACCTTAACAAACTTTATTTAATTAACAATTGTTACAACTGCTGAATCAAGTCATGTTGATGGTTTCCATGTGCCTGTTTGATATTCTTAAACTTGATGAGGAAACATCAATAAATGCTATAGCTGTGAAGAAGTAACTGGTTGTCTAATAGCTTTATTCTCTATCAGGTTAAAAATAAGGTCCAGGTGCAGACCTTTGCCAGCTCTACTTTCAGCTCATTTCTGGATGTGCTCTTGAGCTGCTTCTTCTTCCTTGCCCTGACCCTGGCCTGCTTCCTGCCGGCTCTGGTCACCAGGGGCCCTCCTGCTCCTGCTGCGCTCGCCCTCACACCACTGGCTGGACTCTTGGAGCTCCTCTCTCTGGTGCTGTCTATACGGTAAGGCCACAGCCTGAGCTAACGGTATCTCTAAATAATGTCACAGTGTCTTATATTTCTTACTTTGTTATAACTTCGTAAAACTAATATTTTAAATCATGATAATACTAATTCACCTTGCGTGTTTATAAATGTATGCATTACAGCTTTATGTATATGCGACCACGATTTTCATTATTGGGGTCAAGACCCCTAACCTTTGCTGCTAGATGGATTCTGGCAACCTTTATGAGTTCACAAACTGATGAGAATCCATCTTGTCATGCGCCCACTGTGAGGTTAAGTGGGTGGGTGGACCAATCACAGAGCACGCACTTGAGCCTATTCAGCATCTATATGGATTATTTTGTTCGCTTAATTGTGTTTTGATGTCTGTGCTTTTCTCTCAACTGAATGTAACAAAGGTTTGATTTTTTTGGTCTTGTTTTGCTCTTGTTATGCTTCGACCAATCAGATTCAAATGATGTTCCATGTTTTCTGATCACTTTCAGAGAGAGCCAGCCCAGACTGATAATGTGTAGATTCAGGTTACAAGGTTATTCCCACTCTGGTTTCCCCAATTTTTTTTTTTTAAGTAAATGCAAACTAGACTATTACAAACAAAATGAAGAGATACCATTTTCAATTGCTAATATAGTTTAGAAATGTATATTAATTGTCGCTATTTACTTAATACAATCAATTAATAATTAAACTAACTTAGTTTTTTACAAAACTGGAGTTTGACAGGAAATATATTCCCTGCATTAGACCCATCCATCATCCAGGGACATAGTGAGTAACTGCAGTGCTGTACCTGTCCTCCACACGTGCCTTTAAATGAAGATGCCTGAATGTTCAGTGTCTGATCCTTGTCTTGTTGTGTGCAGCATGGCATTCCACCTGGAGGAGGTGATGAGCTGCACCCGCTCACTGCTGCTTGCCGTCTGTGGGTGGGTCCCCCGTCATGTGGTCGGAGCTGTGCTGGTTTCACTTCCTGCAGTCTCTGTCCTGTCCCACTTCACACTACAACTCCCGCTTCAGGTATAGATGTGTAAAACACACCCACGGTCCTTCCACTTGGCATGATTAAGTAAAATCTATTAAAACTTAAATAAGACTTTGAATTTCTGTGTAATCCCCCATATTGAGCTGTGTAGGTCAATAATAATATTTAATTTGGCAGTATGACATTGCATTCTAGAATCTGAAAACCACCAATAGATTTTAATTTTACTAAAACTGTTGTTTAGTGGAAACTCCTTAAACTGCATCTTGCATAATGCAAGATGTAAGATGCAGTTGAAAAGTATAGATTTCAGTCTGAGACAACAGTGGTCTGATGCAAGCTGCCGATAGATGAACATGTTAACATGTTATGATATAAGGCTTGTACAGTGATGAGCTTGAATGCAGTCTTTATATTGTAGATGCCGTTTTAAAAACATGTAAAAATGCCCCTGCAAGTTTTGAATGGCTGACTGCAGCATGTTTTTTTAAGAACATTCCTTCCATGTTTTCCCATCTCATAATTGCATTACCAGTCCTATTGGCTTCATGTCTGAAGCAGAGGTAAAGATGATTATTAATTGTTAGAGAAACAGTTAAGAATAAATGAAGCCCTGCTGCAAGGGAGCATGATCTGTAGTAAGAAGCCATTCATATGTTGCTGTTGTGGTAGTGCCAGTGAGAACATTTATGGCCAGTCAAAAATCTGATAATGACAACAATCAGATTTCCCAAAAATTAGAGCTCTTTTTCTGTTTGTGTTTTAAGACACAAAATAAATCTGATCATCTAAATTTACACCTGGCTACATATCTCAGTTTATTATAGGAATTTAGAGTAACTGATACAGAGCACTGAATTTGAAAATCACTCAGTAATTTCAATCTTAACCATTTTTGTCTTTGCCCCATTAGTTTGACCTTTTTGCAATATTTACTTTGTCAAGACCTGCACTTGTTGGAACAATCAGAAAGAAATAAGTTTACTTACACTTGATGTAACCGTTTACATAACATTTCAGTTATAACTCTAGAAATCAGATAATGATTAGATTTTTAGTGTGCATGTAAACCACTATTTCTGTTCTCTTCTGTCCTCTGTGTGTTTAGAGCATTTGATATGATGTATTGACTGTTATATCTGTCATATCTAGGTGATCATTTTCTTATGCTGTGCCACCATCCTGGCTATCATTCAGTTCTGTAACTTCTGCCAGCTGAGTTTCTGGATGCGCTCTGTTCTGGCCACTGTTACAGGGGTTGCCCTCCTGCTGCTTGTATACAGCTCATTGCACAGGTGAGTAATGTCTATACATTATTGCATCATGGTCAAATAAGTTTGGAGAAAAATGTTTATTTTTGTATTATTATTATTACTATAAGAATGGTAGGATAGTTGCTAAAATTTGAAAAAGTGACAAAATGTAAACTGCAGTATTGTATTATGCATATAGGATGTGTAAATACATTTGTGCAAGTTATTCTATTTTTTTCTTTCAGCTCCAGTAACAGCAGTTTGACAGATCATGGGTGAGTTTGTTTTGCGTAGATTGCATTATAGATTTACCACAAAAATATTGTTCAGCATTTTGGCATAGTTTTGATAATATTGTGCATGATTTAGATCTTTTAATAAATCATCCTTCACTCATAGCTCTGTTCATTGATTTGTTCATCATAATACATTTTTCTTCTCTTTTCTTTTTTAGACTTAATTTGTCAACAAACGATGGTGGTTTGGCCTTTGTGACTCCTGCAGCAGACCCAGATCTTCCCTTTAATCCTCTGGCTTCTCTTGTCCATGAGGCAGTCCTGGCCTTCTTTCTCCTGCTCCTTTTGGTTTGGTTCCTCAATCGAGAGTTTGAAGTTAGCTACCGCCTGCATTACCATGGAAACGTTGAAGCAGACAAACATCGCTACAAAATTCAAACGATGAGAGATCAGGCTGAGTGGCTGTTGGGAAACATTATCCCTATTCATGTTGCTGACCAACTTAAGGTTTGAATATATGTCTTTCATATGTTATCATTTATGGTCACTTGCGGTGTATATAATTTTATAATTATATTTATCTTGTATTTATGTGTCAACAGGTCACTCAGAGTTATTCCAAGAATCACGACAGTGTAGGAGTGATATTTGCAAGTATTGTGAACTTTAGTGAGTTCTATGAAGAAAGCTATGAAGGTGGAAAAGAGTGCTACCGCGTTCTTAATGAGCTAATAGGAGACTTTGATGAGCTTCTTCGCAAACCTGAATTTAAAAGTGTAGAAAAGATCAAAACTATTGGTGCTACCTACATGGCAGCATCAGGCCTGAATGTTCGACAGATGGCTGAAAATGAAGATGACTCTCCTCACACTCATTTGATGGCACTCTTCAATTTTGCCATTGAGATGATCAAGGTTCTGGATGACTTCAACAAAAACATGTTGGGCTTTGGGTTTAAACTCCGCATCGGATACAACCATGGACCACTTACAGCAGGTGTGATTGGCACCACAAAACTTCTATATGACATCTGGGGAGACACTGTCAACATCGCCAGTCGTATGGACTCTACAGGTGTGGAGTGTCGTGTGCAGGTGAGCGAGGAGAGCCATGCCATACTCAGTTCAATGGGCCTCGAGTTTGACTACAGAGGCACTGTGAATGTTAAAGGCAAAGGACAAATGAGGACCTTTCTCTACCCCAAAAGTGGGGAGACACTGTGCCAACATATAGCTGGAATGTATGTCAGCCATGAACCGTCATGTACATCATCAAAAATCATATCACCTCCATCTTTATCAGTTTATCCACTCCCACATTTAAGTGAAAGGCCTGAAACAGCCCTAGATAAACCAACAGAGTGGAGGGATGAAGGATACAGGGACCCTTCACAGCTTCTTGAAAAATCCGCTGAAACAGAGACTTCTAAGTCTGGACCAGACATAGAATCTAGTGAAACAGAACTGCCATCACAACAGGATACACGTCCTTCTGCAATGCTGCAGCAGGAGGATGAAGAGGAGGGTGAGGTCAATGAGCTAACGAAACTTAATGAGGAATGTTATGCCCGTCTTTGATGGACTTGCCTTTTTCTACATGAATGCTGATCCCCTTTAAAATCTGCAGCTGTGAGCAGGTTGTCCCTCACTGGCACAATGTCTTCGGCACAGACAGAGAATAGTGGCAGGAGCAGGTCCTTAAGCTTTTTGAAGCAATGCTGAATTGCAATAGACCTGTTGAGCACAGCAAATTCTGGAGGAAAGGGGAGGCATTTTGCATCTTTATGGTTTTAATATCAAGTGCCTTCTGGACTTAAACAGTGAATATAGATATTGAACAAAGTCTAAACATCATGATTTTTTCATGAAGCAGGCTACAGAGTATGCTGTGGTTTCTTAGTCATGGTTTATTTTAAATGCAAGTATTTCTTAAAGAAAAATGTATATAATGGTGCCATATATTGTTTGAGATGATCAAAGTACTATTCACCTTATGGGAAAATAATTGCAGAAACTATTAGAGCCAGTGTAGTGCTGAACTGAGCAGGGAACTATGGGAGGAAAGAGGGAATCACATAAAGCAGTATTAATGTGTGTATTTTCTGTGATATGATGCTCAACTCAGTATTCCTTCATGCAAAGGTCTCATTAAGACGAGACATGCTTTATGGCAACTGCACAGATTAAAGATTGTCTATTAGCCAAAAGTACGTTGAAGCACAGGTGTTGCACAGAAATTTCCCAACCACTTTTTTTCTTGATGGGATCATTTTGAGTGACAGAACATGCACTCATAAGAACAATCTAAATCAAAAGGGATTATTCAGAGAAATAGGTGAACAATCAGAAGCAGGTAGGCACTTTAGATATAACTTTAACTGGGGCTATAAGGGACAATCAACATGTATGTTCAGTGTATGATGACAAGTGCAATGGGTTCTGAAAATACCATCTGCCTTTCATGTGTAATTTGGTGCCAGAGGGCAGACCTTTACCTTTTTCTATATGAATATCAAAATTGTGCTCTCCAATTTGAGTGCTTTCTAATTGTTTTGTGGTGCCTTTTTATTGTTATTATGTCAAGTTCTGCCTTTGTGAGGAGAGATGCAACGTTGGAGAAAGATGCTTTTGGGTTTGCTTTTGGGTATACAGAATAATCCTACTCCTGATGCACTTCATTAAGATTTTTATTTGTGGCCTTACTAGAAGCCACAAACTTGTATTCAATATTCAGAAAATTAAGATTAAGATATATTTTACTATTCCCCGTTGAGAAATTTGTCCTCTGCATCTTTCAATACCACTGGGGCATCTCCTCAATAGCAGTGGTTGCCATAGTGCAGTGCTGGTGGACCCATCTCCAGATCTTGAACTAACTTTCATCAGTACCTTAGATGGAGTGGATTATACAGTTTGTGTATTGTTTGGGTTTGATCATGGGGAGAACCTGTCCTCCCCATAAGAAATTCTTGCTGTGAGGTGAGAGTTCCAACCACAGCAACTGTGCAGCCAACTGGATAAGAAATGTTGGCCATAATGCTATTTTAATCAAAGATTATTGTCTTATTTGTGCTTTAAAATGCTCCGTGCCTTTTAGATTATTGGAAATTAATAAATTTTTGAGCTGGTACCAAATTCTACTAAATATCTGGCAAGTACTTGAAGTCTAAATTTTGCTTTTAGTCAGGTTCCAAAAATGATTCCTGTACAAAGTATAAGATATAAAATATAAGTAAGAGCATTTCTAAACATCTTTCACAACAAACAATTGCACATCTGCTATTTTATATATATATATATATATATATATATATATATATATATATATATATATATATATATATATATATATATATATATATATATATATATATATATATATATATATATATATACATAATGTGTGTATTCCTTTCCACTTGCTACTAAGCCATAAAATGTAAGATAAATCTACAGCCTGATGTATATCAGTGGGCTAGCGGCCTTATTGATCAACCCCAAATTTTGATTGTAACAACTCAATCACAGCAGTAGTAACTCTCTAGTTTTATTCTTAATTTATGAAGATATGCAGCCATTGTATTTGCTAAAATATACTTCTTGTCGGTTGAGATGCAGGCTTTTAAAAGGGACAATGAATACAGAAACTGAGTTCAATGCTATCTGGAGTTCAGAAAAAAACATAAAGGAAAAAATGTTAAGAGCTTCACATGTATCATTGTAATGCTGATACTATCAACCTGTTTTCACTTACACTGGGACAAATTAGTTGTTTTTCTTTAAATAATTATTGTTTTAGTTATGTTCATAATCATGTAAGATGTATGTTTTGTGCACATCACTTGTGTATCATTTATCAGCACATCATAATCTGTACACATGTACACATTTGCACAAAGCACTCAGTGTTTGTACATAATTTCATTATTATTATGTCACATATGATTTTTTTTATATACGTGTGCATGTGTCAGATTTTACAGAAAAACCAAACCAAAACAACAACAAAAAAAAAAAAAAAACAATGAAAAGAGACCGGTAAAACAAAACTGTGTGTCTATTTGAGGTGTGGATTTTGAGATCTGAATCTCACAAAAAATATTATGCACACAGGATGAAGCAATTTTTCAAAATAAATTATGTAAATGTTTGGGCTTGACTTTTACACTTTTTAAAATGGAATTGGACTCGTAGACCTATAACATTCCTTTTGAGTAATTATTCTACTGCATTTGAAATATTACTGTCAGCTTACATAAAATTTTCATTTTACAATAATTACCTGGAACAGTGTTTTTCAGCAGTTATTAAATTACATTTTATTGGGACGTGATTCTTCCTTACCAAAAATAGGTTAGAAAATTATAATTTTAAGCAATTAAAATGATACTTTTACATTTCCAAATGAATGAGTTGTCGCTGAGCCTCTGACGGTGTTGGAGCGCCCTCAGAGGTTAGTTGCGGTGCGGTTTTCACGTTGGGCGTGATAGCGCGGCCCCTCCCCCTCCACAGTCGATCTGGAAAAGAAAAAAAAACTTTTTTGTATCGAAGGAATCAACAGCCGCCATCTTGTCGTGGCTCGGAATTAGGATTTCGGTCCAACGCTGGTTTTAACGTAGAAATTGGACATCCTTTCCGCGATATGACACCGACATTGGCCTCACATTGTAATCTTAACGTTGCCTCGGAGACATTTTGTGCGAAAAAACGGGACTGGGATCGGTGGTCGTCGGGCAGAAACGCTCCGTAGATCTGATTTCCCCTTCAGAGTGCGGCGATTCAGCCCCTGACGCTGTCCGGGAGCCGTATTGTTTACCAGGCGGACAACTGGTCGTGGCTTTATAATTTTATTGCAGACCAGCTGCATTTTTGTGCAATTGTGCATTTTTGTAGAGCTCCGTTGGATTTTTGCATGAAGAAATTTGACGTCACGCAAAATGGTTTCTTTAGACATTTAGATTTTTTTCTCGCTAAAATGCATCAATTTACTTGATCTCTTTGGATTGTTATTTTGACGTTCAGTTTTTACATGGAGAGCATTTTATTTCGCTTTATTTAACGACGATAATGTGGGTGTTGGGTGTTGGATTATCATGGGGTGAATGGCGGTGGCGAAGCGGGGCGCTATTGCATCTCTTTTGAAAGGCTCACAGCACGAAGTGGCTAACGTAGCTCATAGCAGGCAATTATCAAGCTATTAGCCAGTTAGCTCACGTTAGCATGCTGTCAGCTTGCTAATGTGCAAAAGTTGATAGAGCAGCGTCTTTCTGGAAGAATTGAAATTGAAACAACAAACACGCCCAGCTGGAAACTATACAACCATGGCTGATAACCTGCTGGATGTGGGACCTCCAAACTCAAAGCGGCCGAAGCTGAATTCACCTGCGCTGTCAGCCTCTGATGGACCAGGTATGGGCCTCTCTGCATACATTTGTAAACACCCATGTCACCGAAGCGTTCACATTACACTACTCTGTTAAAAGCCTGAGAAA